TGCTTTCAATTATGTAAATCGCGCTTCATTTATTTTATTTGGATTGAAAGAAAACCAGAGGAGTGAAATGCTTGTATAACAAATAACATTCCAATAAAAACTTACAAAACAAAATTTACGCTTCTTAACGCACGATCACGCACGATTAAAACCGCAATCGATTGAGTCTGATACACGCACGATCTTGCGCGTTACACGAACGATCATGCACGTTTCACGAACGATTCTACACGATTGATTTGTCAACAATAACGTTGCAGCCACTGTATATGAACAAACTATCAGTGCTTCTGTACTATTTTAATTCCTTATTGAAATCTCTTACATTGGCCTCTCTTGGTCTTTGATGAACATTTAAAAAGACATGAGTTATTTTTGTCTCATTTTTATTTATCTATTACTTACAAGTCTACCTGATCATTAACACTATGAAAGTACTTTCTGTATTATACAATAAAATTTTTTGCATGATTCTCTTATTCTATTAACCTTTCAAGTACATTATTTACAGTGATTAATTATCAAAAGTAAATGGCAAAGGGGAATAACTCCTCTCAGTAGATTACAAATTAATAGAGCCCTGGGCAGGACCAGAACACTTGACCAAATGGTCCAGATGTTCAAAAATCTGGTAAAAATACTCTTCCTTATTAAAACTTTTATTTATTCAAGGGACTTTGAAATTCATAATTTTGGAAGAGGCATCCTTGCTTACCATAACTATGTATTTAAATTGCTTAAATAATACCCAGGAGTAGAGAAGAAGATTTTCAAAGGAATAATGCACTTTCACTACAAGATCTATATAGCCCCACCCTAGCACCAGAACCCTTGACCCTGGGGCTATGAATTTCACTATTTTGGTAGAGTCACTCTTGCTTATCATAACTATGTATTTAATTTGTTTAAATAATACCCAGGAGTAGAGAAGAAGATTTTCAAAGAAATAATGCATTTTTCACTATATGATCTATATAGCCCCGCCCTAGCACCAGAACCCCTGACCCTGGGGCTATGAAATTCATAATTTTTGAAGAGGCATCCTTGCTTATCATAACAATGTATACTTAGTTTGATTAAATAATACCCAGGAGTAGAGAAGAAGAATTTCAAAGAAATAATGCATTTTCACTATATAATAAATACAGCCCCGTCCTAACACCAGAACCCCTGATCCAGGGGCTATGAAATTCATAATTTTGGAAGAGTCGCTCTTGCTTATCATAACTATGTATTCATTTTTTTTAAATAATACCCAGGAGTAGAGAAGAAGATTTTCAAAGAAATAATGCACTTTCACTATAAGATCTATATAGCCCCACCCTAGCACCAGAACCCTTGACCCTGGGGCTATGAATTTCACTATTTTGGTAGAGTCACTCTTGCTTATCATAACTATGTATTTAATTTTTTTAAATAATACCCAGGAGTAGAGAAGGAAGATTTTCAAAGAAATAATGCACTTTTACTATATGATCTATAAAGCCCTGCCCTAGCACCAGAACCCATGACCCTGGGGCCATGAGTTTCACAATTTTGGTGGAGGGCTCAATGCTCATTACAATCATGCCAACAGTTTGACTGCTTGATGTCCAGGAGTAAACAAGAAGATTTTTAAAGATAGCACTAGTTTTGATGGTTTTAGCCCCACCCCTCAGGCACCAGGGGGGCAGGGACCATGAAAATCACAATTTTTGTACCCCTTCATCCATTGATGCTATATGCCAAAATTGGTTGAAATTGGTTCAGTGGTTCAAGAGAAGAAGCTGAAAATGTTCAAAAGTTTATGACCGACGGACAACGGACGATGGATGATGCACGATGGATGAAAACAGATAGCAATAGTGCTGAGTGACTCAGGTGACCTAAAAATACATTGGAATGATCAAGACACATGAACTTGATATATATACAATTCATGCCTGACTTATTTTGAACGATTGTTAAAAAACTTTCTTAAAGATGCTGAATAGTGGGTGGCTCAATGGCAGTTTTGACTCAATATTTAAATTATGTACAACGTCTGGCTATTCTATAGTAAAATACCCTATGCTTTCTGAACCTTGAATTTTATAGCCATTTTATTAAACTTATTTGGCTATCCTTTAGGATAACCCCCTCAGCTTTTAGACCCATTTTCAGATACCAGAAGAGCCTATGTGAAAGTAAAGTGTCAGTCGTTTGCCAATCTGTCTGTTGTTATCAGTATTTGGTCTAATTTCAATATAGCTTGATCCTGTGTATCCCTTTTTAATTTTGGTATTGACATTTACTAGAAATACAAATTACTGTTTAATACTTTCAAAAACGCTACTCCTCCTATAGTTTTGGTCTGATTTCAATATAACTTGGCACACAAGTAGACTACACTTAAACACGTAATTTTATATATAGGTTTCTGATTTCAATGAACAATGTTGCCATGGTTACTAAAAAATAGAAATCTTTGTAAACTACTTTGCAATGCTACAGTTTTGGTCTGATTTCAACGTTTAATAAAATTTGGCATACAAAGATACATAATTCTGTATATTGGGTTTTTTTTTTTTAATTTTGATGAATGGTATTATCATCATTACTAAAAATAGAAATTTCTGTCAAATACTTTCAAAATGCTACTCCTCCAATAGTTTTGGTCTGATTTCAATATAACTTGGCACACAAGCAGACTACAGTAAGATACATAATTTTGTTTATGAAGTAGACTATATTTAAATAATTATGTAAGTCTGTATATAGGTTTTTGATTTCGATGAACAATGTTGCCACGGTTACTAAAAATAAAAATGTATTTAAAAAATAATTTTAAAATCTTACTCCTTCTTTAGTTTTAGTTTGAATGCAATAAATCTTGCTATAAAAGAAACAAAACCAAGGATAATTATTCTGTTTATTTTAGTTTCATGTCAAAGTGTCTCTTTTCTCTTACTTTGTTTTAAATACAAATCAGTACAGCTACAAACTCATCAGAGACTTCTGATTTATATCTATACTACTATATTAAAATTATAGACTCGAATTTTTGGCCTTTAATACTGATAAATCGGAAGAGTACTGTCTTTTGTTTTATATATTTTAAACATCATTGGTACTTGAAGATTACCAATTTGTTTTTATTTTTTCTCAATTAAGCTTTGCTAATTAATAATCAACGAAAATTTCCCCAAAAATTCCGGAAATCACCTGGATTTTTTGGATTTTACAATCTTGCGCGTGCGCATTACATTCACTCTAAATCACGGTGTTCAAATCAGAGAAGGCTAAGTAGATATATATTTGTTATTTTATAATTTCTCTAATAAGAAATCATAAATATATATGAACAGAATATATAGCAAACTTCCAATGAAAATTTACACGTATTTGTATTATCGTTTCTAAGTTTATCCATGCAATTGTGATATTGTGGCCACGTGGGTAATCATTCGCCATCTCTGAGACACATTTATACATTTATTATATGTTATTTATGCCTCTGGCCATCTCAACGCAGGCAAAAAGCTCATGATCGTAGGAGCAATATTAATGTAACTACCCGATTTTATTTTATCCTTCCTTTCTTTTATGCTTTTTTGAGGGGGGGGGGGGGGTGTTACAACTCCAGCTAGAATCACATCTTAGTGAAGTAGGCATTCTTTTTCCGCCAAAAGTTACAATAACATTATTTTCATTTCTTAACTTTGAAATAAATCGAAATAATAAAATAACGTCAATATAACCGATATTTTCAATTTGAAATGTGTCTAAATGATTGCAACTTGAATTTGTTCACCATGTTACTATTACCTTCACTGCTGAGATTTATAACGCGGTAAATATGAAACATAAACTAAGGGCAAAGAAATATGTAACCCGTATTAGCGGATTACGTAATTTTTTTCTGCAATACTTGCACCGTGCATTTCCCACGTGAACCATCAAAGAAAGCATTTTATTGTTTATATTTAAATTCACCTCCAAAAATTTCTTTAACTTTCAAAAAAAAAAAAGTGGGTGAAATATGTAAATTATTGTTATTGATCTGCAATACGTTATGCAGAAGGGACAGCCTGTTCTTCTAAATATGTAAAGGTTGTCGTGGTAACTACGTTTGGTAGGTAGTCTGAATTCAGCCCTTGTGGCCCGTACAGTTCATTCTATCAATGCTGCTAAAATATCGATCATTTGTAAAATATAATCCATGCATAGTGAATGAATTATATTTAATCGTAGCAAACAAACTAACGTTTTATTAAATCGCCACACAAGAAAAAATACACCAGTGTGAAAACAAGTTGTCTTCTTCAGCAGCCATGACAGTTTTCATGTGATGCAATGACTTTTGATTGAAAACGTTTAATACTGCGGTAGATTAACTTTTGTTATCACTAAACAGATATATAAATGTTTATGAGGTATGTATTTTATTTTCGCTGCATTATTTACGTATGAAGTAAGAAAAATTCCTATATTCAGTTCAAGATCCGCTCCCAAATTCTCATTGGCTGTCCCAAAATAAAATCGGTCAAGGTCAGTAAACTTTAAAGTTTGCGGTAAACTCAGACTTTACTAAATATTTTGAAAAAAATTATGCTCTGAATAATTACATCAAAAACATTTAGTTTCTGATTACATAGTATGATTTCAATCAAAAAATGGAAATGATATTGTATGATCCAAAAAGAGACTTTACTAAATATTTTGAAAAAAATTATGCTCTGAATAATTACATCAAAAACATTTATTTTAAAATGTTTCTGATTATATAGTATGATTTCAATTAAAAAATGGAAATGATATTGTATGATCCAAAAAGAGTTGTACCCCCCCCCCCCCCAGGAAAAGGCTTCATTATTGCAGCAAGAAGTACTTTCAAGTTCCTACTTTCCTACTTAGGATACCCTTGGTAAATGTCCGATATGCACATGGATGCATTCATAACAATGTCAACCCGTGCACGCATGGGTCAAAGTCTAGTCTGATTTATTAAATTACTGTCAAAATGTTATCAACAAAATTACCTCTATAATAAACAAGAGTTCTTCCATACATTTCAAACACTCTCCGGAGTGGAAATAATAGATGAGATCAGGTGTATTCCTCACTGTTTGTTTCTTAAACGTGAAGGACATCTCAGGTAAAAAACTGAAAAAAAAATTTTAAGTGTTTAAAAAACATAACTAATGACACAAGAAGAGGAATTATAAAAGATTTTTAGAAGTATTACCAACTTATCTGTGTTTCGGTAGGTCACTTTAGGTTAATAAAGAAAATAATTGGTATACACAACTGAAACAAAGCTTTAAGTTCTTTCAGATATAAATGAAAGAAAAAGTGAACAAGGGGTCATGTTTGAACAAACTTGAATCTAAACTATCTAAGAATGCTTCTATATGAATATGACCAATCATGGCTTTGCTGTTCTTAAGAAATAGTTTGTTTTTAAAGATTTTTACTATGTATTCCTATGTAAAACTTTGTTCGCCCATTATGGCCCCACCCTATCCCTGGGAGTCGATTGGAACAAACTTGAATCTAAACTGAAGATGCTTCCATGTAAATATGACCAATCATGGCTTTGCTGTTCTTGAGAAGAAAATTTTTAAAGATTTTTCCTATATATTCCTATGTAAAATTTTGATCACCCATTGTGGCCCCACCCGACCCCTGGGGGTCATGATTTGAACAAACTTGAATCTATACTACCTGAGGATGCTACCATGCAAATATGACCAATCATGGCTTTGCTGTTCTTGAAAAGAAGATTTTTAAAGATTTTTCCTATATATTCCTATATAAAACTTTGATTGCCCATTGTAGCCCCACCTGACCCCTGGGGTTCATGATTTGAACAAATTTGAATGTACACTATCTGAGGATGCTTCCATGTAAATAAGACCAATCATGGCTTTGCTGTTCTTGAGAAGTAGATTTTTAAAAATTTTTCCTTATATTCCTATGTAAAACTTTGATCACCCATTGTGGCCCCATCCAACATCCAGGGGTCATGATTTGAACAAATTTGAATCTACACTACCTGAGGATGCTACCATGTAAATATGAACAATCACGGCTTTGCTGTTCTTGAGAAGAAGATTTTTAAAGATTTTTCCTATATATTCCTATGTAAAATTTTGATCGCCCATTGTGGCCCCACCCGACCCCTGGGGGATATGATTTGAACAAACTTGAATGTACACTACCTGAGGATACTTCCACGTAAGTTTCATATTTTCAAGCACAGTGGTTCTTGAGAAGAAGATTTTTTAATGATGTCATTAATTTTTCACGAATTCATAATTATCTCCCCTTGGAAGAAGGCGTGGACCTTCATTTGAACAAACTTGAATCCCCTTTACCCAAGGATACTTTGTGGCAAGTTTGGTTGAAATTGGCCCAGTGGATCTGGAGAAGAAGTTGAAAATGTGAAAAGTTTACAGACGGACGGACAGACAGCTAGACGGACTACAGACAAAATGTGATCAGAAAAGCTCACTTGAGCCTTTGGCTCAGGTGAGCTAAAAAACTTGAATCTACACCAACTAAGGAAGCTTCTATATAAATATGACCAATCATAGCTTTGCTGTTCTTGAGAAGAAGATTTTTCATATATATTCCTATGTAAAACTTTAATTGTCCATTGCAGCCCCACCCTACCCCCAGGGGTCATGATTTGAACAAACTTGAATCTACACTACCTGAGGATGCTTCAATATAATATGACCAATCATAACTTTGCTGTTCTTGAGAAGAAGATTTTTGAAGATTTTTCCTATATGCTCCTATGTTAAGCTTTGATCGCCCATTGAGGCCCCTTCCTACCCCCGGGGGTCATGATTTGAACAAATTTGAATCTACACCACCTGAGGATGCTTTCATGTAAATAGGACCAAATCTACACCACCTGAGGATGCTTTCATGTAAATAGGACCAATCAATGCTTTGCTGTTCTTGACAAGAAGAATTTCAAAGATTTTTCCTATATATTCCTATGTAAAACTTGATTGTCCATTGTGGCCTCACCCTACCCCTGGTGGTCATGATATGAACAGATTTGAATCTACAGTACCTGACAATAATTTCACATGAGTTTTATCTTTCCAGGCCCATTGGTTCTTGAGAAGAGTATTTTTCAATGATGCCATTAATTTTTCGCTATTTTGTAATTATCTCCCATTGGAGGAGGGCGAGGCCCTTCATTTGTAAAAACTTGAATCCCTTTCATTCAAGGATACTTTGTGCCAAGTGTGGTTGAAATTGGCCTAGTAGTTCTGGAGAAGAAGATGAAAATGTGAAAAGTGTACGACAATGACGACAGATAACGGACAAATTTCGATCAAAAAAGCTCACTTAAGCCTTTGGCTCAGGTGAGCTAAAAAGCGTAAACTGTTTCAACCCAGTTTACACCAGAAAAATTGGGTAGCTATTAAATTCATTCCTAATACTTTTAGCATAAGAAAAAAATGATTTCCATTGAAATATGACTTCAAATTGTACAAAATTTAAATGTAACAATTCAGGCGGATGGATATGTTTTAGGCGCAAGTCATTGTGACATTGGCAACCCAATTTATACAATATAAAGTAAATCTTTTATCCAATCAAATACCGCATTACAATCAGAATTAAATTATTCCAATTTCAATTTTTTCAAAATAGTGGATAGGGGTGTATCAATTTTTGCATTATGAACTTAACATATACTAACCCTTCTATCGAAAAGAATATCCTTCCAAATAATCTACAGTAATGCTGACAAATATTTACAGTGGTTTGCATACAGTTTGACTTGTCATTTCTACCATGTGACCCTCCTTGTCCGCCTCCAGCTCTTTCACCTCTTCTTTTCCCTTTCCCTCTCTCCCTCTCCTGTGTAGGACACATTGGTTGTTGAAATATTCCCATTTCCATCAGTTGAATTGTTCGCTGTGCAAAGTCCTTTATTGCTTCATTCAACATTGTAGAAGAAGTCTTTAAAAATTTCTCAGTAGCAGGTTCCAAGGATCTATGGAATTTAAAAACAGAAACATTACTTTTTTTCTATTTTGTCAGGTCAGACTAATACAAAACATAAGTAATAAAAGATTACATAGCTCACCTCAACAAATTTTATCTTTTAAGTAGGTGTGCAACGATACACCTACCCTAGATACGTATCACAATATTCATTTCACGATACAATACGTATCACGATACATGACATATTAGGCTAAGAAGTCTAATGTTTGTTATCATATACTTTAAACTTAACAGTTTTATCAAATTCTTATGGTCCGTGTAGCACTTAACAATTCAAATTTCTAAAATAATTTTCAGTTTTAGAATGTTAATATATTAGTTCAAATACCTAAATTTCAAAAACTCGTACTGATTTGGTATATTGAAATTTAATATTTTTAATTAGTTCAAAAATCTAAATTTTCAAATTTCCAAACAGGTTTTAAAAATTTAATGTTTTACATTTTTACCTTAAATGTTCAAAATTCAAATTTCCAAAAACGATTTTTGTATTTTAAACTTTTGAGGTTTTAATCTACTGTTTGTTCAGAAAGTTTATTCTTAACTTTCCTAAATTCAGTAACATATTTTGTCTTTTGATTATTTAAAATTTACTTCAACTTCTAAATTTCAACTTTCAAAATGTTCTAGATTTTAAGAAATTTAGAACTTTGATTCACACACTCAAATTTTAAATATTCTAAAAAACTTTTTTACATTTTGGGTTTTTAGAATTTTACTTTAAATATCCAAAATATCAAATTCCAAACCTGGTTTGAATTTTTAAACTATTTCAAAAACTCTTTTGGTCAAGCAAAAGAGCATTTAGATAGTTAAAATATTGAACTGATATTCAAAATTCAAATCGGGTTTGGAAATTTGATATTTTGGATATTTAAAGTAAAATTCTAAAAACTCAAAGTGCTTTGGTTATTTGAAATTTGAATGTTTGAATCAAAATACCAAATTTCAAAAAACCCAAAAAGTTTTGAAAATTAAGATTTAGAAGTTTGAAGTAAATTTTAAATAAATAAAAAGACGAAAAATGTTACTAAACTTAAGATTGTTAAGCGTAAGCTTTCTGAACAAACAATAGATAAAAAACTCAAAATTTTAAAATACAAAAATCATTTTTGGAAATTTGAATTTTTGAATATTTAAGGTAAAACGCTAAAAAATTAAAATTGTAAACCTGTTTGGAAATTTGATAATTTAGATTTTGGAACTAAAATATTAAATTTCAATATACCAAATCAGTTTGAGTTTTTGAAATTTAGAAATATGAACTATCATATTAACATTCTAAAACTCTAAATCATTTTAGAAATTTGAATTGTTAAGTGTTACACGGACCGTTTATACTTTTTTAAAAATAAAAATATCAGAATGGATGGATTTCAGCTTCTTATTATACCCCCCGCTTGAAAAGTGGGAGGGTATATAGTGATTCGGATGTCCATCCGTCTGTCTAACTTCTTGCATATAAGGACATTTAAACCTTTGTATGTTACAAATTTAATTGGGCTGAAGTTTCTAGATAAATAATGTAATCAAAATTTCTTGGTAATATATAAATCTATACATTATGTCTGAAATACCTACAAAGTTTCAGGAAATTCAGTGCAGGAGTTATGCTAACAAACTGTTATTTAAATTCCTCAGTGATTTCGATTTGTTAATGAGTGTAATCATGTCCAACACATGAGAACTATCCAAGATTCAAGATTTTGTGTGTGTGTCAAATCATTAATATTTTGATCTCAAAATCAATAGGGGTCTTTTAAGGTCATAAAATATTTCACATAAAATGTCATTACAAAGGCTGATTCCAGTGTTGATTTCCTTATTACCTAGCTGGAAAGTTTCTTCAATAATAGGCAAAACTCGTAGGGCAAAAATAATGGAATCGGAATTTCCTGGTAATATGCACATCTACACACTGTGTCCTAAATATCTACAGTTTGACAAAATTCTGTGCAGCGGTTTAAAAGGAGTTGCGATGACAAACTGTTCATCTCTATATTTAATATATGGCCAAAAATCTAAGTTGAAAAGTGCCGAAATTCCCAGAAAAATACAGGATTCGGAATTTCCTGGTAATATGCACATCTACACATTGTGTCCTAAATATCTGCAAAAGTTGACGAAATTCTGAGCAGCGGTTTAAAAGGAGTTGTGCTGACAAACTGTTCATCTCTATATTCAAGATATGGCCAAAAATCTAAGTTGAAAAGTGCCGAAATTCCCAGAAAAAATAAAGGAATCGGAATTTCCTGGTAATATGCACATCTACACATTGTGTCCTATATATCTGCAAAGTTTGACGAAATTCTGTGCGGCAGTTTAGGAGGAGTTGCGCTGACAAACTGTTCATCTCTATATTCAAGATATGGCCAAAAATCTAAGTTGAAAAGTGCCGAAATTCCCAGAAAAAATAAAGGAATCGGAATTTCCTGGTAATATGCACATCTACACATTGTATCCTAAATATCTGCAAAGTTTGACGAAATTCTATGCAGCAGTTTAGGAGGAGTTGCGCTGACAAAAAAAAGGACTGACGGACTGACTGACTTACTGACTGACTGACGGACGGGTCAAAAACATTATACCCCCCGCAACTATAGTTGTATGGGGTATAAAAATGCAAGTTAGATTTAATTTCCAGTCGCAAAATTAATTTTAGGGTTGCAAATGCGACCATTTTTAAGTCACAACTTGGAGCACTGATTATGCCCTTGACTGTACATGGAATCAAACTTTAAACATGTTAAAAGGTGCGAAAATATCAATAACCTTCAATTATGTAATGTATTTATCACAATTTTCTTAAATAGTTGAAATATCTAATTTCTTTAGGCTATTGTTTATTCACCCTCAAATGGACTTCTCCTATATAGTTTTATTCATTACATCTGATGCATAAGTGATCTTTTCTGAAGAATGTTGTTTAGACTATAAGCTATAGCAGAGACCTAAACAATATCTCTGGCTATTATCGCTACCATCATGGGCAGTTTTTAACTTGTGGGAGGAAAGTATTTTACATGCAGATAGTTTTGAATATGGATACATAATTATCTCACCACCATGTCATTGTGCAACAAAGTCGTCAGCATTTTTATTTGTCCTCTGAATGGTGAAATGTTTTGAATGGCACTCCTATCAATAAATTTTACACTAAACAAAGCTATGATGCTGCTATGGACTAAGCAGATCTACCTTTATTTACCCACCATGTTTATCTTAAACCAGAAGTACGAGTTCGTAAATTTAAAATCTCAATCCCGACTCAAATTCGACATCAGAAAGAAAAAAATCTATTTTTCTCAATTTTATTTTTTTCCTGAAAATTCAAAAACGAAAGCGGCGGGTTTGTAAACCTAAGAATAAAAAAAACTGGCCTTACTAATTTTCTACTGAACAATTCTTCAACCACAAAATCAAATCCCCATGAACCAAAATATTTTCCCTCAAACCACGAAAATTTGACCCCTCGAAATTATATGTGATTTTACAGTATCTGTATTGACACAGCCCTTCATGGGAATGGACATGTTATAACAAGAGGCCCAGGAACTACAATGCTTACCTGAGTCAGTATGACCCTGCTGATCTTCATCAGCAGATTTTCCTTTTATATTCCTATGTAAATATAAATCCCTACCATGACCCCACCCAAAATTTTAATAAATGTAAGCCCACCCTACCCCTCAGGGTCACGATTTGAACAAACTTGAATCTACACTACCTAAGGATGCTTCCAAATAACCAGAAGTCTCTGACGAGACTGTAGCTCTACTGGTTGTACTCATAAAGGAAGATAAAAGTAGCATTTGGACTTGAAACTTTGCAACAGCAATAAATAGAATAATGATCCTTGGTTTCGTCTCTTTTTGTGACAAGATTTATTGCAATCAGACTAAAAATGGAGTAGCCTTTTAAAAAAAATTTACAGAAATTTTGATTTAAGTAACCATGGCAACATCATTCAACAAAATCAAAAAAACAATGAAGACAATTATGTATCTCAGTGTAGTCTACTTGTATGCCAAGTTACACTGAAATAGACAAGAAATGGAGGAAGGGTAGCATTTTGAAAGTATTTCACAGAAATTTCTATTTTTAGTAACCATGGCAACACCGTTCATCAAAATCCAAATCTGGTATAGAGAATAATGTATCTTAATGTAATATACTTGTGTGTCAAGTTATACTGAAATCAGACCAAAACTATAGGAAGAGTAGTGTTTTAAACATATTTCAAGGAAATTTCTATTTTTAGTAACCATGGCAACACCGTTCATCAAAATAAAGAACCGATAAAAAGAATAATGTGTCTTAGTATATTCTACTTGTGTGCCAAGTTATATTGAAATCAGATCAAAACTGTAGGAGGAGTAGCATTTTGAATGTATTTCCAAAAAAAAATCTATTTTTAGTAACCATGGCAACACCATTCATTGAAATCAAAAACCAATATAGAGAATTATGTATCTTAGTCTAGTTTACTTGTGTGCCAAGTTATACTTGTCTAAAATCAAACCAAAACTGTAGGAGAAGTGTTTTGAAAGTATTTTATAGAAATTTCTATTTTTAGTAACCATGGCAACACTGTTCACTGAAATCAAAAACCGATAAACAGAATCAAGTATCTTGATATAGTCTACCTGTGTAATTTTTATGTAAAACTTTGATCGCACATTGTGGCCAACCCTATTCCCAGGGGTCTTGATCATGATGATAAAACTTGAATCTACATTAAATCAGGAAGGTTTCATTTATTCTGGCCCAGTGGTTCTTGAGAAGATTTTTAAATACCCCCACCAAATTTTCAATATTTCTTAGTCATCTCCCTTTTGAAGAGGGTATAGCCCTTCAGTTGAACAGATTTGAATCCCCTTTATCCAAGGATACTCTGCACAAAGTTTGGTTGAAATTGGTCCAGAGGTTCTTGAGAAGATGAAAATGTGAAAAGTTAACAATAACGACAATGGACAAATTTTAAACAAAAAAGCTCCCTTGAGCCTTCAGCTTAAAACCATTTCTGATATCTGATAATTTAATAATGAACTCAGCATCATCAATGATTAGTAAGTAGTAAAACTGACTAGGAAATAACTTACGTGTTATCTCGTAGTACATCACACATTTTCCATGCCCTTTCGATATTTTCCTTGATCTCTTTTATTACATTTTCCCTCTCTGTTGTTTCAATTTTTCTTACTTCATATGAAAATGTCAAACTTTTTTCAAGTTGTTTCTTGAGAAAGGTGGTAATTTTGCTGGGATCAGGAGAAAAACCTGTCTCTTTCCTAAAAGCATCCTTCACATCTTTAATAAATTTTTCCAAGGGTTCTGGGAAATCCTCATAAAAGATATTTAAGTACATAAGATCTTTATAGGCCCATTGACTTGCTGAAAAGTTTCCTTTCTTAGAACTTGTGAGTTGACTCTTCAAACAGTTTGAATCTGCTTCATCATCATGCTCACTCCATGTACAAAACTCGGAAAAATTTGATGGTGCACGTTTTTTCCTAGGCAGCAAGGATTCCTTACTGGAGCTTAGTGTTTCATCTTCCTTAAAAAAAAACATTGGTAATCAAAGATTACGAAGCTCACCTCGACTTGTCAGTAAAAGTAATGCAAATCTCACATCCAATTTTCTTTAGAGTTAGTGTGCATCCTGACAACAATATTCATGTAAGTTCTGTTTAAGTAGGTTATAAAGTTCATTGTGAATTGACCTGTTACAAAAACCTTAACCTGTTCACTAATCAAGAAAATGTTTTTTGTTTCCTACATCCAAAGCAAGTCTGGAATTGTCCATCCTTAGATGCATCATCCATGCAAGTTGAATCATAACAGGCCATATAATTATAAAGCTACTCCAAAAACTTTAACCTGGTCAGTCATCTGGAAAATGTAGGTCAGATCCAGCATTCGAAGCAAGTCAGGTAGTGACTTTAAAGATTTTTAAAAGATGACACCAAATTTTCACCAATTCTTAATTATCTCCCCTTGAAAGGGGATGTGGCCCTTCATTTGAACAAACTTGCATCCCCTTTACCCAAGGATGCTTTGTGGCAAGTTTTGTTGAAATTGGTGCAGTGGTTCTTGAGAAGAAGTCAAAAATGGCATCAATATTTTTTGACACTGACATTTCCTTTGACCTTGACCTCACTTTTCTTAAATTAGTGTTTAGCTCAGTTTTAAAGATACCATTCAAGAAAGTGAAATCAAACTTCATATGTTGATGCATACTGATGTAAGCTATTCAACTAAATTAACATTTTTTGACCTTGACCTTTCCTTTGAACTTGACCTCACTTTTCTTAAATTTGTGTCAAAATTCATAAATGGGAATATACACTTAATTTGATCGCCGAAATATGGCTGAAATATTGCCGATTCGGCATTAAACAATAATAATCAATCATAATTAATCCAAAAGATGATTAGTCTGTTGTGTAAAATGTAGGAGGAGTTCTGGGAACCAGGGTCTTTTTGTATAAAAAACATCATTTTTTAACCCCCATTTGACTCCTAGGGTGAAAATGAAAATTCCGAAACCTTACTGCACAACTACAGGACACCACCAACCACTCCCAAAGACGATTAGGCTACTGTGTAAAATGTAGGAGGAGTTCAGGGAACCAGGGGCTTTTTGCATAAAAAGCATCATTTTTCAACCCCTGTTTGACCTCCATGGTGAAAATGAAAATTCCGAAACCTTACTGCACATCTACATGACACCACCAACCATCTCCCAAAAGATGATTAGGCTACTGTGTAAAATGTAAGAGGAGTTCAGGGAACCAGGGGCTTTTTGCATAAAAAAGTCATTTTTCGACCCCCAATTGACACCCAGGGTGAAAATGAAAATTCCGAAACCTTACTGCACATCTACTTGACACCACCAACCATCTCCCAAAAGATGATTAGGCTACTGTGTAAAATGTAAGAGGAGTTTGGGAAAGAAGAGTGTGACAGATGGACGGACATGAATAACAACAATATACCCGAACTTTCTTTAGAAAGTGCGGGTATAAATATAGTCATATATTTTTGAAAGAAGGTCACCTTGACCTACTTTTCAGTTGCAGTACTCAGAGGACCCAAGATGCATCAAAGTCTGATTCTAAGCCAATTAGTACCCGAAATATTTAATTATAGCCATATTAATTGAAAAGTAAGTCACAGTGATTAGAATCATCAATTTTTTTTCAGTTGATGTATCTTAGGTCCTGGGAGTACATCTACTGAATCTAAGGATGCATATAACCAGGCTTGCTGGATCTGACCTACATTTTATGGATGAGTGAACAGGTTAAAGTTTTTGGAGCAGGTCTCATTTCCAACTAACTATAAGCCCCATTTTTCAAAATGATTTAAAGGCCTATTTTGAACAATTTAAGGCCTATGATCATCAAACTTTGTCAGTTGATGCATCTTTGGAGTACATCAACTAAAAAGAAGGTCACCTTGACCTACTTTTTGAATTTTATGGTTAATCTTTTTCAAAACATTTAAGGTCATTAATTCGAATACTGAGAGGTTTAGAATCATGAAATCTTGTAAGATGGTGCATCTTGGGCCATAAAACATTAAAGCTATATATTTTTAAAAGTAGGTCACGATGACCTTTTCAGTCAATCTACACTTTATCCTGGTCATTCCTTTGCTGAAATTGCAGCATCTGAAACCTTGACTGGTACAATGAAATGCACTAGAAGCACCTTCCAAGCCTCTCTGATTAATGTAGGGCATAGAAGTACTTAAAAAGAAAACAGCACCAAAAACATTAACCTGGGACGCTGACGCCGATGGTATCACATAAGCTCCCCCCAACTTCGTTGAGGTGAGCTAAAAAGTAGGTCACCGGGACTTACTTTTGAGTCAACATGACATAAGTCCTTAGATGCATCAACTGATCCTACTCCTTATAGTAAGCAAAATATCAACATTTTAATAAAATGTAATTTTTGGTCAACTTCGAAGTGACCTTGAGACCACACCCTTTGTCCCAGGGCGATTCCCCGTGCAAATTTTAATCTACAAGTAAGGTGTAAGTTTGGTGATAATCTGCCCAGTGGTTCTTGAGAAGGAGATTTTTTAGCAAGCAGTCCTTTTGGTTTTATTTACCTAATTATCCACTTTCGCTGTCTATTAGATTGACCAACCCCAAAATATATTTCTGTAGACAGTCTGGTAATAATCTGCCCAGTGGATCTTGAGAAGGAGATTTTTAGCAAGCAGTATTTTGGGTTTTACTTACCTAATTATCCGCTTTCGCCGTCTATTAGATTGATCAACCCAAAATATATTTCTGTAGAGAGTCAGTGACAAACCTGATAAGCAATATTATAATCTTGGAAAAAGCTTACCTGCTAAACCTGATTACATCTATGAGTACGTTGAGTAGAGAAGGAATATTTTTAAACAGGTATTTTTATGCCCCCATAAACGAAGTTTCAGGGGTATATAGTTTTTGCCCTGTCCGTCCGTCTGTTCGTCCTTTAACCTTGCCCATAACTTTTGAGTGGTTGGGGCTATGGCTTTCATATTTCACGGGTGTATTCCTTGTGACAAGACTTTTCTTTGGGTACCTCCAAATTTGACCTCTTGACCTTGACCTTGTAGTTTGACCGACTTTTACAAAAAAATACCACACTTCAACCTTGGCCATAACTTTTGAACAGTTGAAGCTAGGACTTTCATACCTCACATGTGAATTCCTTGTGACAGGACCTTTCAGTGGGTATAAATATTTTTGACCTTTTGACCTTGTCTTTAGAGTTTGACCCACTTTTTTAAAAATTTTAACCTTGGGCCATAACTTTTGAAGTTTGACATGCATTTGAGAAAATTTAACCCTCGCCATAAGCTGCCATACGGGGGCATCAGTGTTTCACAAACACATCTTCTTTAAATATAAAACCTAGCTGCTATGCTTAAATATAACAGATTTAAGACCTATGTTTAGAAAAAAATCACTTACAGGTATTAAGCTTTTGTTTAAGGTGAAATTACAACAAACGTATCATTCTTACCAAGCTGGAACCATTTTCCTCTTCAAGATCTCTTGCTGTTCTTTTCCCAGATCTCTCAGCCTCAATGGGCTCAGGTAACTTAAAGGACATATTTTATCTACAAAATTAAAAACAAATCTGATTAAATACTCGATCAAATTGCCTCTTCAATTTTCTCTACCACATAAGAAAAAGTATGTTGCTACAATGAGGCATAAAACATGTGGACAACTATCAATGTCATTACAGATATTGATGAGGATTTTACACCTTTTAAGGCATAAATAAAAAGAATTTGCTAGATTTTCATCCAAATTTTGATAAAAATTGTTGTTAGGAGGTGGATTTCTATTTTATTTTTTACATCTTTTTTTTATTGTAAATTAAAATGTGCACTTCTACCGATTACTTTTCAATGTATTTTTCCTAGTGAGCCAAACACCTAAGACATTCTATGTAAAAATAAATATATATATATATATATATATAATTCCTCGCAAATAAAAATAATAACTTATTTTTTATTGTTTGTTTGATCGTTCGGTCAAGAGAAAATTTTTGTTTGTTTTTTTTTTTTTAATGAAGCAACAGTGACAACAACGTAAAAAGACTGGTAGATGAAATGAAAGCATAAGGGATTTATAAAATCAATCTCATTTGTTTGAAAGTCTGATAAGTGAATATTCAAAATAATAATTGTATTCAATTAGGAAAATGTAAAGGAAAAAAACATAAGTACGCTTATTCTTTAAAAATAAATACAGAAAGGCCTTTTATGGCGACGCAACCAAAATATTTTTTTCATCCTTGTTATACAGTGTTTGTTGATATGTTCGATTTATTTCCAAGTTATTAAACCATAAGGCGATGTTGTACAGACAATATAAAAACAACTAAAATTATTTATCTTAAAAATTGAAAGTAGTTCACACAGAAAGTAAATTAAAAAAAGATACAGTTATTAAGACGACTAGTTACATTTAACAACAAAAATACAGCTGTAAAAGGGAAATCTTTATAACAGTTTTATTATTAAGAATAAAGTTCATAAGCAGTCCATTTGTGTTTTATATATACCGGTACATACAAATGATGATTTAAATAGAAATGGTAACGACATTACATATACAAAATGTATTTCAGTTACAATTGAGCATATATACTGTGAAAAAGGATGTTTTGAGGTCCAAAGAAAAACATCCGAGTAACCGGTTACTCGATCGGAAAAGTAAGCTTGATAAAGCTATTTATATGCAGGTTTTCACAAAAATGTTATTTGTACAAAATACACAAAAAGTCGCAAGTATTTGACTATTCATATATTTAATACAGGGATTTTTTTAGGGTCTCTCCGGGGCCGAAATTCGGCCCCATTCCCAATGCTGGAAAGTGCATGTTTTTCCCAAAATTATACCTAAAAATTCCCAATATGAAAAAAGTATTAAGTTGTAAATTATTAAAATAAAATAATGACAAAAAGGTGTTTACGTCCTCTATGTGCAATGTACGAGCCATCCGAGGAGTTCCGAAAAGTTATTCAGAACACTACGAATGCTGCATGCATACTTTTTAAAGCGGGATCGATGTTTAAAAATTAAAGTTGGGATCGTTGATTAATAAATAAACGTGCATCATGTCAGTCTCTCCAGTTTGCCTAGGGTGGTAATTTTCAGGCTGTGTTGAATCACTCTTATTCTTATAAATTAGTCAAACAATACCAATTAACCACTCATCTGGAACAAACCCACTATCAAATTTTATTTTAAAGAACTTCTTATGTAAAGGTAAAAAAGATGACAACGTTGTATAAAAGTGTTCATTTACAATGTTATTATACCCTGCGGCTTTACCATTTTTAAGGTCCTGAACAGTCTCTATTATTTCATATCACTAAAGCTGGTTTAGGCCAGCTTCATACTACAAAAAAATAAGAAAAATGATTAAATATTTGTCTTTTGCTTGTTTTTATTTGTATGAAGATATTTTTCCCAATTTCAACGAAATATCGCTATTTTTCCCAATCTTGACGGCCCTGGCCCCTGGAATCAGAGGGTAAAAAATCCCTGTAATATGGGTTATCAAATCAACAACCCAAATCAAAGATAGTTCTAACATTGCAGCATTTGAATACTTTTAAGAAAAAGATAAATTTCCATTGTTTGAGTAACTGAACACCACCTTGTGTGCGTTGAGGCATAGATAAGTATGATTGCTTCTCATTGTACTGAATTATTACCAATCAATTATCTTGTTGACCATAATTGGCCTCCTTTATGATTTCATTGAAGAAGTAACTGTATTAATTGCTTAATATAGCCCCAAAACTTTTAGAACTTTGAGTAAAAAGTCTCTTAAGGAGATGCAATTTGATGAGTGATTTTTACATGCATTATTTTCATGAGAGTTCAAGGTTGAATATCATCACTGCACCAAGGTGCAACTTTTTGTGCATACTTGGAAAATAACACATTTGAGAAAAAAGTGTGATAAAATAGCTAAATCAAGCTATTCTAAATAGCTAAATAAAGCTATATTGCTAAATCAAGCTATATAGCTTAATCAAGAGATTGTGCCGGACCTGCTTTAGTCAGCGTAGCTTTCTGACAGTCTCCAAACCAGCAACAATAACTAGTTTATCCTTACCTTGGAGAAACTTATTTACACGTGTTTGGCAAAAATTGAGGTAGCCTTTTGTTTTCCAACAACATTTACGTCTTTACTTGATAGGTGGCGCGACAGCAGCAGAGAGATTTCTTCAGTCTAAGTCCACACTAACTCCTAACCTCGGCATCTAAATTTTTGCGGCAACTTTCACAGTAAAATAGAACTTCGAACCCGATGCAATATAACCTAACGTCGAAAATAGTTAAGTTGAACGGAGTATCGTCGACAAGTTATCATGAAAGATCGGATAAAGCTTTCTTAAACTGTTAGAAGGAAAAAGTAGCTTTTTTTGCCTAAACTATGGCGCTATACAAAACTAACAATTCTTTAAAATACCGCAAATGAAATGATTTCTGTTCGAAACTATAGAAGAGCACTATAGTAATACTACATTAAAACCGCTGGCACTTCAAAAATACATGTACTTGTATCACTTTTGAGATTGGCTATAGGCCTGATAATGAATTAATATCGACATTTCATTGATTATCTTTTATATTTTCTCCCATGGAAGGCTGCAAGCTGGTCGCGATATCGGAAAAATTACCATCCGCGAATCTAGAGGGATGGGGGGGGGGGGGGGTCCGGGAGCGTCCGGACCCCCTGGAATTTGCTGAGTTATTTAATATATATATTCTAATCCAAGTAAAAGTGACCATGGACCCCCTCCCCCTAAAATACGTGGACCCCTCCTCCAAAACGCGGATTTATGTGAAATTAGTATGAAAAGTCATAGATATGAATCTTTAAATGTGAACGACTCATGAATTAATATCGACAATTCATTGATTATCTTTAAATTTATATTTCCTCCCATGGAAGGCTGCAAGCTGATCGCGATATCGGAAAAATAGTATACCGTGAACTCTACCTTTAACTGTTTAAAGAGTCTTACTGTCTGCGTACATGTATGTACAATGTGTATTTTTTCCTCAGGCCCAATTCCAAGATCTTAATTGAGTTAGAGGGAGCGTTATTAGATATAATAAGTAAAGAGTAGGGGTACCTTCGAGGTCCAAGGCAGGTCAAGGAGACCAATTTGTCCTGTTCGGGGTGGGGCGGGAGCATAGCCCTCTATGTTTCTTTGGTATAATTAAAATGTTGGGAAAGGGCGTATTAAGTTTTTAGAACTTCTCCCCAATCCCAGTTGTATAGTTTATAGTCAATTAAATATATTAAATCTGTAGATCTTATTTTGACACATAAACGTAATAAATGGCTGTATTTTTATAGTTTTTGCTTTGATATTCAGCAGTGACAAACTTGTTCTCCGTTTTAGTGGGGCCTTTAAAATCCATGCATGTTATGCGTAATGATTTGTGTCCCGTATTCCTCAAGTTAAAAAAATAGAATTAGAACCACCACGCATGGAGGGGTACATGGGGGGGGGGTTAGGAATTTTCCCGGCCGGTGAGGGTGGGGGTGGGGTATTTATCACAGTAGTCTTGGCAATTTAGACTTTGAAAATATATATTTTTGAAAAAAAACATATTATAAATCCCAATAGACTACAAAAAGCAAGGGAAACAAAAATGAAGTTGATAGAGCTAAATATCGAAAAATCAGAAATCAAGTTAACAACATGAAAGAAAAAAAGCGCTATCTAATTATTATGACAATATTGATCATCACTTGTCTGATGCGAGCGTTCACAATACTAAATTATATTGAGTGCTGTTGAGAGATGCTTTTCATGTAAAACCAAACAAAGATATTCCACCAATACAATACATTTCTGATACCGGAGAGCAAAATGTAGCTTTCTCAGACGAAGATAAAGTTAATGTGTTGAACAAGTATTTTTCTTCTATATCTAATGTGGATGACTCGCAGAACCAATTACTACAACTGTTTACTTATGCAATGATACATTGAGTGATATATCAGTTACTGAGCAAGAAATTATTGACATAATATCAATACTTCCTGTTAACAAAGCAATAGGTCCTGATGCAGTAAGCCACACGATGCTAAATTCTACTAATATATTCTGTTTCCAAACCATTATGCTTGTTGTTTAATAAGTCGTTGGCAGAAAATGTATTTCCAGACAACAGGAAACTCGTTTATGTATTACCATTGTTTAAAAAGATGATCCTTCTGTAGCAACTAATTATAGATCGGTATCATTGTTGAGTTGTGTTAGCAAAATTACGTAAAGAATTATATTTTAATATGTGTACAATTACTTTCATCAAAATAACTTATTTTATAAATTTCAAGCAGGTTTTTTTTGCCGGGTCACTCAACTATTTACCAATTACTTGAAACTTCCCTAACAAAAAATACTATAGTTAACTATAGTTTACTATAGTTAACTATAGTGATAACTTTTACACAATGAAAATTTTGATTTACTATAGTGATAGCTTTGACACTTTGATTTACTATAGTGATCACTATGAAAACTTTGATTTACTATGGCGAAAACTTTGATTTACTATAGTGAT